AAGGAAAAAAACACCCATAATGAGAAGAAGCCAACACAGAGCAATCTCTTCACACTTAAAGCTCTCTGCCTGCCACCTCCTTCTGCTCCGCGTGGTCCCTGCGGTGGCTTTGGTTAGTTGGGCACTTGCCATGGTCCCTGCACCAACCCGAGCAGCGCCCGGGGGAACAGACCCTGGGCGGCCTCGGCCTCTTCCTGCACTTTCCCAAACTTTGCTCCGGGAAGCGCAGCCGTCCCCACGTTCGCAGGAGAACAGCACCATTCGGTGGCGTAACGGGGAATGAATCCGTGCCCTGGCGGCGCCGGTGCCCTCTGCTCCCGGCTCCGCTTCCCGCGGGATCCGCCGCGGCCTCCCGCGCGCGCCGGCTCGCAGGGCACCTGCTCGCTGTTTGCAAGCGGGCAGATGGTGCCGTCGCGACGCCCGCAGCAAACGGGCAGATTTCCGTGCCAGCGCCCGGGGATTAGAGGCAAAGCTGCTCGCCAATTAACGGCTAATTACTTTGTTTGAAAAAGCAACATTCTGGTAAACAGCAGCCGCCGCGCGCGGCGGGCACGAGCGCCGGGTGATGCCCAAGGCCCGTGGCTAGCGGGACACGCGCACGGCGAGCGGAACTGCACGACCAGGAGCGCCGGGACGTGACTGATGGGAAGCAGCAGCCGTTTGTGCAGAGCAGTAAATATAAACACCGAGCGCCTCTGACACCCCGCGGTAGCGCTCTGTGTAGGTCAACGCAAAATGAGGCAAAGCGCCACAATTGGGAAAATTATTGCATTTCTAGTGGCGCGCTTCCCCCCGAGGATGTGTGCGGAATGAGCTGCTGAGAAGCAGCAGGTTAAAAGTTGACAAATCCCTAACTCATACAGGGACCACATAAAGCCGCCGAGTAGATTTATAAAATGATTTGTCAACTGACAAGCAAAAATACATTACCAGTTCAGGACTGTGATTTGCCTGCAACCTGTTAATCCTCGCGTTGGTGCCGAACAGATTAAAGTGTCCGCTTCAATCGGCGCGCTGGGATGGGAACACGACACCCGCGGTGGCACGGGTGCCCGTCACGGGCCGGCCCGGCCGCAGGGACGCGGAAGGGCGCCCCGGCGTTTTACTGGGTGAGCATTGGGATGGATCTGCCCAGGATTCACTTACAGCATAAAAGCACCTGGCCGAAGAGCCACCGGTCAGAGGGTGGCAGCGCTCGGGGGTCGCTGCTTTGTCCCGGGCCGGGCAGCCCGGTGCTGCGGGCGCCGTGCCAGCATCGCCTCCTGGCACAGCACGGAGCTCGCTGCTGCGGGCAGCTTTACCGTGCAGAGAGACGACGCGTAATTCAATTTCCAGCGCTGGAAACAAATGAACCTCTGTTTGCTTCCCCCTCATTTCTCCCTCCTTCCAGCCCTCATCTGATGCTGCTCCATGTGGCAACATCGAGCGATCTCTGAATATTTTAACTCCTGTAAAATATTTATATTATAATGCAAGGAAGGAAATCGGTGGCTTCCAAGTCGTGTAAACATATGCCTTGGAACAGCTGGATTCCTGGCAGCGGAGGCGCTCGCAGGTACCTGCAACACGGCGCTGTCCCCTGCGTTCGTGGCAGCAGCGACGGCCTCGCAGCGCCGGCCCCGCGCGAGCGTCGCGGCCGCGGCCCTGCCCTCCGGCCCCGAAACCGAGGGCTGCCATTAAAACGTCACCGAGAAAATTATTAAGGCAAGGTAAGCCACTTCCCTGCGTCAAAAGCAAAGGCAATCAGTCGCAGGCATGTCCCCCTAGGAAATTACGTGGAGTAATTAATCAAAAAGCTAATGAGAAATGTGTTTTCTTTCCCAGCCTAACACCACATCATATTCTTATTAGGCAAGGTTATTACAATAGTAATCATGCATGCTCTGAGTTCAAATTGGGTTTCTTTGCTCCACTGCCGCCAATTTAGAAACCCATTAATGGGAAAGATAAACCCCGATACGCAGAGCCGAGAGCGCCGGACAGCACGGCCGGAATGCGCTTATTTCCATCCCGGCTGCTTCTTAATTTGCTTATTTATCTGCCGTTTAGCCTCTGACAGATCAAAGGCTCGGCGGAGGGGGAGCGGAGCGGGGCCGCGCATGAGAATGAGCCGTGATACGTAATTAATTAACAGCAAACAGTTTCATTAGGAGATGGGGTTGCACAGCTGTTTGTCTTAAAAACTGAGGCTGTGCGTAAAGGCAGTGGAGCCGAAGACGCGCCCCGTCCCGGCGGCTGGCACCGAGGGAAGCGGGGCCACAGGAGCATCCCGTCCCCTGCCCGCGTCCCCGCCACGGCGACTATTAATCTGTTTGTAATTCTATTAGGAGATGGCCAGGAGAAAGAGTATCAATTTTAGATTAACAAGGTTATTAGCACTTAATTATGTGAGGTGTCTTTGTAATTGAAAAGGGAAGGAGGAAGCGCCATAAATATCCCCAGACTCGCGACTCCTCGGGGTTTGCGGGTGGCTCTCTCTCTATTCACAAGGATCCGGAACCATAAATATTAAATATCTCGTAAAAAAAAATGACAAGGAAGAGAAGAGGGTGCCCTCTGGATATTGCGGCGCTGAATGTTCTTGCATTTACAAATATTCATTAACTGGGATCTGCAAAGTTATTTCCACCCAGACTCGGAGAGCGAGCCGGAGAGAGAGGTTATTGAAAAAAGGGAACCTAGAGTAAATATTATTAGCAATTTTTATGTCCGCACGTCCCTCATTACGGCACGATTAGGAAATGGCACAGATGCGCGCGCCCGGCCGCGCGTCCCGCTGCCGGCCCGGCACAAGGACGGAGCCACGGGGCCGGGCCGCGCGCGGGCGGCTCCGAGCCGCTGCCACTCCTGGCAACGGCAACCA